GGAGCAGGAGGGAAGCCCAAGCCCACAGCAGGCAGAGGCCCCCTGGACACCTGGACACACGGTGCTGGTGCTGCCGTAAGACAAGCCCTGGCAGGTCAGACGCAGGGCAGCAGACCCAGGCTGAGATGCGGCCTCTCTCCAAGCCTGGTTCCCTCTCCCAGTGTGACCCAGGGGTTGACCAGGCTGGGCCTCCCAGGCACCAAGGCCAGGTGTCGAGAGACACAGGCCCTCCTGACTTCCCCATTCCCTGGCTTTCCATGCGGCTTCTATGGTTGACAGCTTGTCCCTCTGTTGGCTCCTTCTGCCCTTGCTGATGACACTGATGTCCGTGCCGCTGTCCCCGTGGGCAGCCGTTGCCTTTCTGTGCAGGCTGTGGTCCTGCTCCTGACCTGCAGGTGCAGGCTGCCACAGCCACCTTTCTCTGGCAACCACCAGAGGGCGCCCGGCCTCCACGCAGGGACAGCAGGTGCCTGTTATTCCTCCCTGCTCCAGGACCTTGGGCACTTCTGAGGGAGGCAGGGACAAGAGAGGGCCGTACATGGGTGCTTCACCTGCAGTGCCCGCTTGCTGCCACTGAGACCTTTCACCCTGTGAAAGTGGGGAGTAGGGAGTGCCCAGGTCCATGGGGATCCCAGGGAGGAAGGCCAGCTCTGGGACAGAAAGGGACCTAGCCCATGACCCTAGGAGCTGCCCAGGGGTGGGCTGGTGCACACTGGGCTGGCAGGGAGGTGGCAGGCAGCTGGGCAGGTGTCACCTCCCATGCTGGCCAGCCCCCCTGACAGTGGGGGTGGTGGGTGCCCTGCAGGTGTCTGTAGCATTTGCTTGTCTTCAGGTGACCCGGCCCAAATGCAGCCCGGAAGTGCCTGGTGCTGGGCACCAGCGGCTGGGTGCGTGCAGTCCCTGCCCCTGCCCGCCGGGTCTTTCTGTCGTGGTCATTTCATCGGCTGCCTTCTGCCTGTTGCTTTGCCCTTGGGTTGGCTGGGTCTGGGACAGCTTTCAGCGGTGACCTGGCTGACCAGGCCAGTAGGAGACAGGCGCAGGGTGGGCTGGGCCCTCAAGGCCCTCCAGGGCACCGGGTGCTGGCACTCAGGGCCTTCGGCCTAGGGCAGCTGTGAGTGCTGAGGGTGCCCAGCGTCAGGCCGCTGTCCAGCTTCCCGCGAGGCTCAGGCCTCCATCCAGAAGGCAGGGCCTGGGAGGGCCAGTGTGTCCCTTGGTTTCTGCCCTCCTCGCTCTCCTGTTTGTCTTTGGCCTTTGGATTTCTCCTCTTGCTTATTTCGACAGGTTGTCCCTCTAGAAAGGCAGCCTGGTTCTGACACCCCCCATAGCCGGGCTGCCATCTGCTCCAGGCTGGTTCCTGCCTCTCGGAGCAGGACCTGTACTGTGTGCACCAGCGACCGGGGGCTGCGTACGTGCAATTGCATGTGTCTTCCTTAACTTGAGAAACTTGGATCAGCCAAACAAGAAGAGAGCCCTCCACAGCCAGGCTTCCCGCTGGCGCTCTCTGCGCGGTTTTTTTCAGGAAGCAGAAGGAAAGCTTCATGACTGCCTCCAGCTATTCTTGGTCCCCAAGCCTGGAGTCCGGGTCCTTGGAGTTGGATTCCTTGGGCCTGGGTACTCTTTTGTGTCCACACTCAGGCTTGCTTGGCTGAGTGTGACCCCTGAGCCCTTAGGGAGAGACCTCGGTTAGATGGGTGGATGCGGCACCCCCCTGCCTTGCGCCCAGCGCTGATCCTAGTTTCCAGGCAAGATGCCCAGGAGCACTTGGAAGGTCCTGTGGAGAGCCAGGTGGGGACCCCTGGGGCTCAGCTCTGCAGCAGGGCCAGGCCGCCTGGACGCGCACACAGTGTGAGCTCTGCATCCTAAGAAGCTTTGTTACACTAAAACGCCACTGCATAAAGTATTCATGGGCTAGCAGACAGTATTCTTTTTTAGATTGCTTTAAATGTTTTTAAACATTATAAACAACTACAGCAGCCACTCCCAGCCTAACAGCTTTGCGGCAGCTAAAGTTGGAGCCATTGTCCTCTGTCTTGGAATGCAAGACAGAGTCACCTGGGAAGACTGGCCTGCAGGAAGAGCTCTGGGAGGGCTCGTTCCCTGGGCATCTGTAGGGACGAATGACCTGACACCCAGCCTGTGTCTTTCCAGGGCCCTGGGCTCTGGCTCAGATGCCAGGGTGGTTCCGTGACACTTTGCTGCTTTCTCTCCAGTCCTTTGACTGACTGGCGTTCTTTGCCTCTCCCCTGTTCCCCCTCGTGGGCACACACCGACAGCACAGGACCTGGCTAGGGCAGGATGGCTGTGGCAGCCCAGCAGGCTGCACTGGGAAGAATTCCTCCAGGGACCCAACTCGTCCGTCGAGACAGCCACCTGCTGCTGCGTGGGACTCTTCTTTCCCGTTGGCTGTGTTACCCCGTGGAAGGAGACACAAAGAGCCGATGGCGGTGTGGGACAGGCACCAGCCACAGAACAGGCACTGCGGGAGGCTCTGTAATTGCTTTACTATTCCAAACAATAAAGTGCCATGACACCCATTTCAAGTACATTTGAAAGCACATTTTTGACAGGGGACACAAAACTCTGCGCCAACTCCAGGTACTACGACCTCAGAGAGCAGAGCCCCACACAGGTGGGAGCTGCCTGCTGTCCTGCCAGCATGGAGCTCTGTGCGTCTCTAGTGGCCTTCTTTCCACTCCTGTGTTACTGTTCCTCTATGGAAAAGTCTTTCATTGTTTTGGATTTTGAGATAGGGTCTTACTGGTTTGAGCTCAGGCCGGGCTTGAAAGTGCTGTGCAGTCCAGGCTGACCCGGAGCGTGCAGCGATCCTCCTTCCTTCAGCCACCTGAGCCAGGGGATTCCAGATGTGCACCCCACACCTGGTGCTCTAGAAGGATCTTAGGGGCTGAGGGGGCTGGAGAAGCCACACATAACCAGGTGGGTTGGTGCACAGTCCGAGCATGCCCGCTGCTCGGCTTCCTCTGATCAGACGGGCTGGAGCAACCAGACTGGCAGAAGCCACTAGCAGCCACAGGACTAGAAATGCCAGCTGCAACCCTGCTCACCCTGCACGACCAAGGAGAGTGGAGAAAACCAGGTCCGCAATGGCCTGAGGGCTGGGCCTGGCCCCAGGGCCCAGGGCGCCCATCCGTGTGGACGTGGCCCACTGAGCCCAGAAACCCTTGGGGCCCAGGCTCTGGCTGCAGGCTTCCATGGTCCCCCTTGGAGCCAGACCCTGCCCTGGGACCAAGGCCCTGCAGGCCTTCTTCTTCACATGGGGTCACCCTCCAGGCAAGTGTCCTCTGCTGGTGGACTCCTTCTTCTGAGGTGGCCACTCAGGTGTCTCTGTGTAGGGATCCAGCTGTGACAGCAGGTACCAGCGAGCCAGAAGTAGAATGGCCGGACCCGGAGCACAGAGCCCCCTGTGAAGCTGGCCCTGGACGTGGGCCGTGCCGCAGGGATCTGACTCCAGGCCTAGCCCCCGCTGCAGATAGCAGGTGTAGGCAGAGACCCTGGTAGCAGTGCTGGAGACCACACTGAGGCGGCTCAGCCTAGAGGGAAGAGGGTTATTGGTCGGCACCTCTCTGCCAAGGTCACAAGAAGACTTTCGGAAGCACTGTGGCCTCCAGATCCAACACTGCAAGATCAGGGGCAGGCACCGAGTGCCTAGCTCACACGGGGAGAGTCCCCTCGGGTCCCCCCACTAGGTCCACAGGCCGTGTTCTGCTAGCTAAGAGCTGGGGCTGGGAAAGGCAGCCGCACATGGAACCCCAACCTCTGGGAGTGACAAAGAGCTGAAGGTGGCTGCCACCAGAGCTGCGTCCTCAGGTGAAGAGGACAGGTGACGGGGCCTACTTGGGCTGTCTCTGCCACATTGGCCCACACTCCCAACGGAGCACACCACGGAGTCCTGCGGGCACTAGGTTTCCCCACAGAGAAGCCCGAAGGAACAGAACAGGGGCTGCAACAGGATTTCTGAGTTATTTTGTACTAACCATTCTGTGCGTGGCACATTTTATTTCTATAAAACTATTACAAAATATTCAAAAATACATTTTAGTAAATTTACAGCAGTTATGTTTCAATTTATTAATGCAAAAACATCCTTTTTCTCTGTACAAACTACAGGCTCCGTCCTCACGGGCTCATCACTATGTGCGCTTTTAAAAAATATTATTTTCTAATAAACTCTTTGAAGTTAAAAATAACAGAGTTCTTCCAGTTTGCCAAAAAAAAAAAAAAAAAAAAAGTGTGTAACAGTCTCGGCGCCAAGAACGTGGCCCAAATAAAGACGATGAAAGCGAGTATTAAACCAGGAAGACAGTACAGGAGACGGTCGTTAACATCGGAAACTAGTTAAATTAAAATAATATATTTCATATTTTACACTATTTCAAAAAATGAAATGTCATTCAGTTAAGTATTGATCTCTCAAAAAAATCTAATTTACAATTCTGTGTATAAAAATATAATTTGTGGACCCCCATGAAGCATGTTCTAGTTCACACTGGCAGGGCGGCAGGCGCGCAGCACAGGAGGACCGCGAGCGCAGGACTGGCCCCGGCTCTCAGGGCCCGGGCCACGTAGAAAAATAGACTCTGAGCAGGCGGCGTGGCCGCACGAAGTAATCTCTGCCCGCCAATACAGCTCACGTGATAAGAATAAATTACCCAAGACACAAACTAGTTAAGGCTCTTGAAGGTCCGGTTCATATTATTTAAAACATCTATTCATACCAAATAAATAGCCAAGAGA